CGTCATCTACTCCAACATTTTTTGCCCAAATTATTAATGATATGTATCAATATCTTCTTAAAATCTGTTGCTTCATGATTATTAGACCCATATGGATAGTTCTACTTGATTTCCAAGACTTTTCTAATGTTTTACAATTTTCGTCCAAGTTGCCCTTTAAGCCCCTGTAGTAATATAAAGCCATAAAACTTCTGAGATACTGACCAATAAAAGTGATAGTATGGCAGAAAATACTTTTGAAAACAAGGGGAAAAAAACAAAACATTTCATATTTATTGGTAACACCTAACAAGACATTAATAAGACATTTTTTTTTTTCAAATCATATTTCAATATTTGGTACCTGTTGAGTTTTCTTTGTAGCCAAGTCATTATATCTGTCACCGGGACTTACATCCAGATCAATCACTTCACTTGTTACTTCAGGACTATCAATAACAAATATACATATTTTATCATTATATTAATAATAATCTATGAAATACTGAAATACAATGTATATATAATATATGAAATACTTTAGCRCAGTCTGCACTACTAATTATTTTCCATAGTAACCTTCATGTATTTTCTTCATATTTTTTTAAACCTTAATACTAGTAGCCTTTGACTGTCTACACTTTATTTATCAAAAAAAAAAAAATGAAAATCACACTAATATATTTATATATCTCTTACACATCTTTAGGTGGATAAACCCCATCTTCACATGATTGATCCTCAACCTACCAAAATGAACCATACATTAAAAATACTTATTGAATGATGCTGAAGCGAGTGAAATTTGTGACAATTTTGAAATATCACAAGTGGTATTTRTCCCAAATTCCAAGTACAAAACATGCTATTACAGTTGACTTTGAACGACCACTCTCGTTACAAGCAACCATCTACCCTAAGCGACCACCTTTTAAATTTCCCGTTATAATTCTTTCCCATATAAACTCTGTAAAAAAACTCTCTCGTAAAGGACCATCTCTCATAAGCGACCACTTTTTCCTGATCCCGAGGTAATCGCTTACGAGATAGTTGACTGTATTTGTGTATAAAATGGTTGATTAAAATTGTGCAGTTTGAAATACCACTATTAGGATAAATACCACTCCTCTAAGCCAATCAAATTGCACAATTTTATTCCACCATTAAAGATTATTATCATATTGTCATGATTATTAATTATTTATCATAAGATTAAAATATGAAATATTTATAGTATTAATATCTGTAATAAGTACACCAGCTCAATCGAATAGCAGAAATAACATAAGAAGTATAGCATAAGACGTAAAAAAAGATTCAAATGAAGCGAAAAGCGGACCTTCAATTCATTCATTCGAAACTGTCAATGCAGGGATACTGCCGGAAAACTATTTCGAGTAGAATGCATTTCCACAACGAATCGAAAGTCGGGATTTACTTTTAAAACATACCTTGGCAAGTTGAACACTTGATGTTGAGGGAAAAATGCCAAATGCGAAGATACAAACGAAGAAAATTCCTCTGTTCAGCATGCTTTTAGTTTGTTTGCAGTATTCGCAAAGTCACAAACAAGTCATGTGACATAATTTCATGTCGTGGGCTTCCTGTGTTGTTTGAACATGTCACGTGCYTAGATTCCTGATTTGGGTGTCACTTCCGGGATTTCTAAGAAGGTTCATGTTGAGTTCTTAACTACGTTCTCTTTTAAGACTTTAAATCCCTGCAAATTTAAGAAAAGTCTGCTTCGCTACAACTACAAGCAAAAGGTCCAGTTTTATTCGCATTTGGGACAACTTTTCTCTTAATTTTGGACGCGCACAAAGTCTACGAGTCTTCATTTTATAATCCAGACATCATGTGACGTGGTGTGATCTAGTCGAGTCTGCAGTTCGTGGACATGATGGTAAGTTTGCAGCATTATATCACATGAATTCATAGCGTACTATATGTTTAGCAGCATAATAGTTCAGTTGAGTTTACAATGCTGCCAACATCGTGAATATTTTGTTCGCTGACTTCCGGGATTTCTAAGAAGGTTCATGTTGAGTTCTTCTACGTTCGCTTTTAAGACTTTTTAAAGTCCCTGCAAACTTAAGAAAAGCCTATCTCGCTACAACACAAGTAATTGGGTCCAGTTCTATACGCATTTGGGACAACGTTTCTCTTAATTTTGGACGCGCACTTGAAGTCTACGAGGCCTCATTTTATAATCCAGACATCATGTGACGTGGTGTGATCTTGTCGAGTCGTTTGTACGTTTGCAGCATTATATCACATGATCGAATTCATAGCGTACTATATGTTTAGCAGCATAACAGTGCGGTTGATTTTACAATGCTGCCAACATCGTGAATTTTTTTAAGTTCGATGATTTCAAATTCCGCCGTTCCAATGTGGTTGGGCATATTAGGGGGTCTTCGTTTTGGATATTTTTTGGGGGGAGGGGGGGCCTGTCCAAAAAGAAGACCCTAGCAAAAAAGCCCTAAAATTGGCTATTCTTGTTGTAGTTGATGTGTATTACACATGCTTTGCTCGTACTGGAAGTTAGAAATGATTTAAAGGTGATTTTAGGGTGGTCTTCGTTTTGGTTGTTTGGGGGGGTTTTGTCCAAAACGAAGACCCTATTAAAAATTCTTGAAACGTTCGTGTTTTGTTGTTAGTTATGTTCTGTGTGACATAACGCACTTTTGGAACGATTTTGAATTGATTTTGTTGGGGTCTTCGTTTTTGGGTCTTAGGTCTTCGTTATGCCCACCCATTCCAAGAGGGTCTCAATGGGGTTAACCGTGAGCCGTGAGACGGCTGAAAATTAGCCGTGAGTCGTGAAAATGCGAAAAAATTAGCTGGCATAATTCGTGAATATTTTTTTATAGCGTGAGCCGTGATTCAGTTTTGTCCCTCAGAAGGACAGTCAACTCCAGGCGCGCGCTTGTAATTTTTTTTTTTTTTTTGTGTGTGTGTGGGTAATTAAAAAAAATAAAAGCTTTAGTGGAGATTTTTCAAAATTTTCAAAGAGTAGTATGTTAGTACATCGAAGACTTTGAGCGGGAGCCAATAGCCACTTCGTAAAAAAAAGTCGGTTCTCGGGAAAGTGAAACACAAGAGAGATGACAATAATTATAATATAATAATAATTAATAATTATATTTTTATACAGCGCTTATACAAATCTGCTCTAAGCGCTTTCAAATTACAAACAATTACAATGACAGAGTCATGGTAGACTGCGAGCTTAAGATGGCGCCTCATGGCTGCCGCTCTTAGTCCGTCCCAAGATATCAAACTTAAAAATTACAACAATAAAAATTAAAATATAAATGACACTACAAAAAATTCATACAAGGAATAAAGAAGCATGCATGATGGCCGGTGGCTCAGATGAGCTCATTCGCCCTTTGACAGGTCTTGTTTTTAGTCCTGCTGGGTGTACATGCCACCCTCCTCACCAGTTAGACTGGCGGGGGGAGCCGGTTTAGACGCCGACGACCCRTCCATGAGGCAGGTTGTACTGGGTTACAATGTTACCAGTACCAGACTCATTGTCTGACCTGACATTATGCAAAAAATAAAAATAAATAAAAGAAGAAAAAAAAAAACAATAAATAAAATAGAAATGAAAAAAACAAAAACATTAAACGTCTCGTCCAGGGAATCGATCCCGCTACCGTCAAACCTACATTGGATTTGCAAGCAGAGCCTTAACGCGGTGCGCCACTGAACCACGCTCATTTACATAACAATAGACCACTTGACACTTTCACCGAATAGACTACCCCAATTTGACATTATACTTTCGATAGTTGCCTAGTTAGTTCAAGGGGTTATCCATCAGTGTCTAGGGGCCGGATAGCTTCTCCCTCACTGGCTTTTTAGTTACCGCGAAGTTAGGACCAATTATCGGGATAGCATGGAAGAGCCGAAATCTCTAACCGGAATGTAAATCGATTCGCCGCCTCAGCTTCACAGAATGTCTCGGGGGAATCGTCCCAACCTTTTTTCGATTTTATGGTCATGGGTTCGAATCCCAATACTCAAGTTTTTTCTTTTTTTCATATTTCTTTTTTTTTCTTTTTGTTGTTGTCTTTGAATTAGCTTCCTATGCATTAATGTTTGTTTGCAATATCTGCAGAATCATTTAATAATTATTTCTATATATTTCAATAATGTGATATTTTAAAGTGCGCTTTCATTGGCTGTTTGTTTTCATTAAACGTTTTCACAGCGCGGCGATTGGGCAACCGAGAATCAATTTTTAAAACGCAATTTTTCCATGTACATTTAGCCCGGCATAGAATACATCATCGCGAAAAGCGTTAATGAAATTTCGCAAACTCCGATGTCAGACACGGACTGCAGCAATGTCACTACTATGTTCTCAATACCTGCTAAGTTGAACACTTTTTGGATTTTTTTTTTTGTGCATTATGAATTTATGATTAATCATATTTTCGTGGAAATAGTCGCATTTCGGCTTATTTGAAAGAGCAAAATCCATATCCGCACGAATAAGTCATGCAGTCTATTTATACGAAAAATGAAAAAGTAATGAAAAACGTAATTCAAAAATTTCTGAAAGTGATCTAGTTAACCGTGATTCGAAAAAATTAATCGTGAGTCGTGAAATCGCCAAATTTCTAGCCGTGAGTCGTGATGCGTACCACTCCATTGAGACCCTCTTCCAATGTTGCTCATTTGGCAAAATTATTTAGCAAAAATACGTTTAATGGTTCCCTATGAGCTTATTAAATGCAATGTAATTCTAATTATTTAGTATAATGAATGTCTGTTATTGATTAATTTATTAAAAAGACTATTTTTCCCATATACCCCTCCCTCGAACAAAAATTAGGTAGATGCTCTTAGAGTGTTTAGTCGTGCCCCATGAACAATGCTATCTTTATATTCATCAGATGAATATACCGTATATGACGACGGTGTATAAGTCGACCTTTTTGTCCGAAAAAATGGCTCTTAAAAGTCGACCTCGACTTATACACCGGTTAGAAAAACTGACGACATATTCAAAACTCACAAACCTTCCAAAAACTGCCTTTAAACCACGTATTTTATTCTTAAATACGTATATCAATTGTAGTTGACTGTTTGTGCTTTACAAATGTTATTGTAGAGACGTAGAAATGACGGTTCATAACAACACAAACCAGAAAAGCGATCCACCTTCGAGTTCGCAAATGAGTTGACATTTCTGACATATAATAGTTCTTAAAACAGTCTTTGAATACTGCAAAGATAAAGATATAGAGCATGCTTTATTGTTTTATTAATAATTGGAATAAAAGAAGTTAGAAAGTGAGCCATAAACATTGCCGGTATTTTACAAACAAACCATTGATTCACGAACGTCGCCGCCATATTGGTTTTAACCCATGGTGATCATTAAAAGAAAAACATTGCCAAAAAGAACATTCCCGAGAAGAATTGCTATCCACTGCCACCCTAAGGGCTGGATGGACGAGGACGGCGTCAAGTTGTGGATTGAAAAAGTTTGGAACGCGAGACCTGGTGCTTTGTCAAAACCAAAAAGCCTTCTGGTATTGGACTCGTCAGAGTTAGTAACTGTGGACTCGTTTAGCGCGCATTTAATTGACTCCGTTAAGCGAAATCTCAAAGTCAACAATACAGATGTGGCCGTCATTCCAGGTGGACTTACCATCCTCGTTCAACCACTGGATGTTTGTTTAAACAAGCCATTCAAAGACAGAATGAGAACAAAGTGGGCTGATTGGATGGTAAACGGCGAGAAGAAAATGACGAAAGGAGGAGCAATGAAGGCCGCATCCCTAGAAAGCATAACCGAGTGGGTGGAGGAATCATGGAAGGAAGTGGCAGCAGACAGGGTGGAACGTTCTTTCAAGAAATGCTGCATTTCCAATGCGATTGAGTGGAAGTTGTGTTGAATAAGAAATGGTCAAGGGTTTTTTTTTTTAATTTTATCCAACTAGGGAGGGGGGGTCATGTTTCTTTTTTCTATAAAAGTTTCAAAAACCACCAGCCACTCCTCTCGATGAAAAATGAACGGTCCCGCATCTGGGTGCGGCGTCAATTTGAGGAAATAATGATATCAGCAATGGGAATTTATTTTCTCTTAGAGCATTTTTTATTTCTAAGTGACTGTACATTTTTGCTCTCAGCACCTGTTAGATTGCGACATTGATGTTGAAATAGAAGTTTAACTCTGGTTAAAATTATAAATTGAATAGACAAAATGAACACAACGTTTATATATAGACCCCTTGCAGTTCGTGGGAATGCAGCTCCAACTGGAGGACAAAGGAATAGATTCTAGTTCCCAAAAGGGAAAAAAAACTTTTGTTTTGTCCTCCAGATGAAGCTTCTTGACGTCACATGCAAGGGGTCTATTGAGATTCGTTAGTGTTTGTTACATAGGCCGCCCAAATATTGCTTGAGAGGCTTAAAGAACAAATGCGCACGCTTTTAAAATGTATATGTTATCGGCGCGCTTTCTTAGCAAATGTGGATTACCTGTGTTATAGAAAAAGTGGTAGACATCATCATTAACTTCAAACTATTGCACAACCTTTTGAATAGTTAAAAACAAATTCATCTGTTCGATTTCGAGTAATATGACAAATATTTCATTGATGTGATTGTTAGGTTAAGATTTCATTCAAACTTCGTTAGTATGTCAATTATGTTATTAAGAAATGATTCTGAAAAATTYATTACAATCTCTGCGATTAGTTTTTTGTTTTTATTTTGCATCGTTTATCCAAATGACGGCAAATTAATCTATTAACAAGAATTATCGATAATCACTGTTACTTCTGTGAAAATTGAAAAATGAGTGCAATCGAATCGAAATTTGCGACGTAGTTGCAGTTGAAAAATACGCGCGAAGCGCTATTTATTACGATCGAAACACCTTAACAAGGGCTGAACGTTCGTTGGTGTTTACAATCTTTACAGTGAATGTAATACCGGTAGACGTGACGTGAACAAGTTTCGGGAAATTGAAATTTAAACAGAGGGCCACTTTGACTTTTGATCAAGCGAGTCAATAAAGTACTCTTGGATGGAACATAAATAGTCCCAGCTATTTATGTTCCTGTATCTATCACATACTAGGAATAAATATTAAATACTTCCACCACATGGTGGGCCAAATATCTCAGTTMATAGAACTTATTAYTATAAGAAGTTTTCAGCAAATCGATTGTGTAAGTGTATTCGCAACCATTAATACTGAGATTTCCAATAAATGAAGCTYTTCGATTATAATCCCTTCACTTTGTCCGTGTTTTTACTGAAAACAAAGGGGGGGAAGGTCCATAAAAGCTTCCCTACCCTACCCTCGCATATATTACGCAATTTTGAGCCAATTTTGCAAGTATCTGCAATGATTAGCATTTAAAACAAACACTTTTACTGCAGTAGCAYACATGGTATTTTTTAACAAAGAATAAATCACTTATAGTCAAATTCCAGCTTAAAATTTTTATTTTACATGATGCCAATCAATGTGCTTCTTCATGGGTACAAGGTAAAGTAGGACAATTTCAATTGAAATTCAATTTTATAACCGTTATGTTTATGTACAATACAAACTTCGTTCACGATATGTTTTTCCTGTTGACGTTTTTGAGTCTCCACTCATCAGTACAGAAGAACGATCTTGGTTTACAAGTCTCACCGAAATTTAGTCGGCGGCTGGACCACTTAAGCGGCTTAAGTGTCAAAGTGAAGAAAACGTTTTTAAGCTTTTTATTGAGCGAAAAAGAGTTGGATTTGAGTCATTTGTTTTTCCTTAGAAATGTTTCTGTTTCCTGTATTGGCGTCCCTAAGTAATGCAAATCTTTAAAATTGATTGCTTTCTTTACTAGAAGCACCACCAACTGACAAGATTGTTTTTGTGCATGTACCAGATAGATTATTGTTACTTACACTTTTTCCTTACCAATTAAAACGATACAACAAACAGTTTGCCAAATCAAGATGATTTTCAAGTCGAGAATTTTCTATAAGCGATGGAATCACTGAAGAAGAACAAGAAGTGAAGTAAACAACGTTTACAAGAAGTGAATAGCACATTTAACAATTTACAATTTAAGTGAATTACAATGTTTCATGTTAACTTCTCAAAAAGCGTGAATGCAGTTTTAAAATTGTTTAGCGCAATAACCAATTTTTTTCCTTTAGAAATAAGGAGATACGAATTTTTTCTCACTTCTGGTTTTTACAATTCAAAAGATAATTATTAAACAATTGTTAATTGCGGCGATTTTCAAGCTGAGACCATAAATCATAAAGCGATGAATGCACTGAAGAAGAACAGCGTCGAAATTGCTTCATTTTAACTYCMCACTACACAGCAAATTCAGTTATTAAGTTTTCGATTTTTTTKGTGTAATAATGCTTTGTTCTTTTTCTGTAGCGACGCAAACATCGTACAGTGCAAAGTATGACAACCATTAGGTAATTCTTTCAAAACAGTCTTACCATTCCATCCCGTTTGGAGAAATTATATACAAAGACAGTCGTCTTGGATAACAAAAATGTAGACGGAACTCTTCGTAAAGAACCGCAAGTCAGGATAATATGTCATGGATGAAGAAAATGTTTGGAAACCGATCATACAAGGTAAAAAAGACCGAAAAATCCTAACTTTGAAAACATGATGTCCAATCCAGTTTTGTTATTTGCTTGCTTGCTTGCTTGCTTGCTTGCTTGCTTGCTTGCTTGCTTGCTTGCTTGCTTGCTTGCTTGCTTGCTTGCTTGCTTGCTTGCTTGCTTGCTTGCTTGCTTGCAT